CGTCACAGCCCAGCCAGGGGAGAGGCTGGGTGGCCCAGCGGTCACCTCCGATGTGCCGGCGAGCCCTCCCAGAGCCTGCGGGTGACCAGAGGGCCCTGGGGGCCTCTGGAGCAGGCAGGGTGGGTCTGGGCTGATGTACCTTGAAGTACACAGGCTCCACCTTGTGCTTGAGGGCATGGGCTTTGCCCACCAGGGCGAGCACAGAGGACACCTTCTCGGGGTCATGCAGGTTCTCCACGACTGTGTTGAGGGCGCCCATAACCCGGCAGGCATGCTTCCGCAGCTGCGGGCTCCGCTCCATTTCCAGGGGCTCCTTCATGTGCTTGAACTGGCTGAAGTACTGCTTGGCCGATGGGAAGTTCACGAAGAACCTGGTGGGAGGGAGAGGTGGGCGCTGAGGCAGGGGCTGCTGGGGCCCCACCCTGGAGTGGCCAGGGCAAGGTGGGCGCTGGCTGGGAGAGGTAGGACCTACCCCAATAATTTTTTTATTTTTAAAAATATCTCTTTATTGATTTCAGAGAGAGGAAGGGAGAGAGAGAAAGAGAGAAACATTAGTGATGAGGGAGTCACTGATGGGCCGCCTCCTGCATGTCCCCGACTGGGGATGGAGCCCGCAACCCGGGCATGTGCCCTGACCTGGAATCGAACAGTGGTCTCCTGGATGCTAGGTCGATGCTCAACTGCTGAGCCACGCCCGGCCGGGCCCCAATAATTTTTAAAAAATATGTTTTTATTGATCTCAAAGAGAGAGGAAGGGAGAGAGAAACATCGATCGGCTGCCTCCTGCACGGCCCCACCAGGGATCCAGCCTGCAACCAGGGCATGTGCTCTGACCGGGAATTGAACCGGCGGCCTTTTTGGTGTTTGAGACGACACCCAACCGAGCCACACTGGCCAGGGCCCCAATAATTGTTTTCACCACCACGTGAGCCGTACCTCAAACACAGACCCTCCTGTGGCCAAGCTGGCTTACACGCGGCCCCTGCCCCAGTCCCAGCCACGTCTATTGGCCGGACTTGCTGGGCCCGGCAGCTTCGCCTCCCGGCCTCCGCCTTCCTGGATTCTCACCTCCTCTCCAGACCCACACGCCCTTCAAGGCCTGCTCCCCGCACGGCACGGCCGGGAGGGTGGGAGCTTTCGTCAGGAACCACGGGTCAGTGTGACCTCGGGCAAGCTATTTAACTTTCTGGCCCTCTGTTTCCCCCTCCGTGAAATGACACCATCGTTCCTATCTCTGAGTTGTTGGGAAGGTGAAGCGAGAAGCTGCGTGTGGGGTCCTCACAGCGTGGACGCGGCCCGGGAGGTGGCAGCGGGCAGTGCCATGGTCAGGCCGTTCTTTGTAAGCGGTGAACCCGGGCTCGCTGCTGGCTGCGCTCGGGTCTCCCGGCCAACGGGATGGGGGGGTGAGGCTCAGTCTTTCTCCTCCCAGCTCCGTCTCTACCCCCCACCCCGCCTCCCCCCTCAGCCGCAGTAAATGCCAGTTGGTTGGTTTAATTAAAGATCGCGGTTGACTCTACCTGCCCGGCGTGGCTCTGTCGTTGCTGTGCACCTGTACGTGCCTCTCCCCTCTCCAGCCAGCCTGTGCACTTCTTGGAGCAGAGCC